GAGAGAGAGAGAGAGAGAGGTCAGTATCGGGATGGAACACGAGCTCGGCACGACTGCCGTCGGATACGCACTTTCGGGTCCATTCACGAGCGGTGCTCTCGTATCGCTGGCGATCCGTCTTGTAGAGGTTGGCAATCTCTGGCACGAGCGGGTCGTCGGGATTTGGGTCGGTGAGCATGGAGCAGATGGAGAGAAGCACCTTGGAGATGGTGAGGGCTGGGCTCCACTGGTCCCTGAGAATGTCGAGGCAGATGCTGCCGTTGCTGTTGATGTTGGGGTGGTAAATCTTGGTGGAGAAGGAGACCTTGGGGGGCTTGAAGGGGTAGTCGGTGGGGAAGGTGATGGAGAGGAAGAAGACACCGCCCGCATACGGCGAGTCGCCGGGGCCCATGATGGTTGCTTGCCACTGGAACATGTTGTCGCCGGTGGGACCGGCCGAGCAAGACGAGGGAGGATCACGGCCGAGGTCGGCGAGCTCCTTATTGATCCTTTTCATGGCCATTTTCTGTCGTTGTGCACGAGCAGGGTTCGCGATACGATTTGTGTGGCGTAGATAAGGGCGGTCGAGGTGAAGTGGTTGCGATGGGTCGCGGTGGAGCAAGAGGGAAGCAGAGCAAAGTCAGAGTCAGTATATGCAAAGTCTCGTATCAACAGAACAAGTATGCATCCGCAAAGGTCGACCCTCGATGCTGTGGCCGACGTCGGCTGAATCATTTAGACATGTCGACTTGGATCGACGTTGGCATCGAGTCCGGCGGCGGCGTCGTCTCCAGTCCAATGAAGCCAGATGCGATCCCCGTGTCATGTAGCAGCACGAGGAGCGCATGCATCTATTGCGAGGTATCCAAGCTGGACCTAAGCTGGCCCCAGTGGCGACGCACCACCTCTCCTCCGTTGCGCCGAGAGCGAGCATGTATGCGATGGAGTGCCGCTCGCCGGGGTGCGAAACAGCAGCTAGGCAGGAGCAGACCTCTAGCTGGGCGAGTGTCGATCGAGTGGCGCCATGTCGGTGCGCAAAAGCGCGGCACTTACTGCTAGATTGTTTGCCTTGCCGGCAGATGCGAATCAGTGGTGTTGTGTTATTGGTGGTGTGGTTGTGATGCGTGGGTATCGCAGTAGGAATGCGGACTGCAAAGGTGGCGAACAAAGCTGATGGGGTGTTTGCCGAAGGGAGTCCTTGTAAGATGATGGGTGTGTGGAGAGAAGAAAGGGATGCGAGGTGGGCGCATCGAGTGACTGAACTCGACGGGTGCCAATCACGAGCCTGCGTGCGGTTGTTGCTCTGTCTGGCTGTGGCAGTCCCACTCAACCTCACCTCACTCGCTCACATCACACTTCCGCGCCAGCCATCGTGCCCACAGCAACACAGCCCGGACTTTGAGCGAGAGCCTGTTGCTCTCTCCCTGCCGACCTCTGCGGTTGCGGTTGCTGCGCCTATGTGTCTGTGTGTGTGTCTCTCTCGGTCCGCCTCGATCTCTTCCTCTCGCCTTTCTCCTTCCTGGCTATCAAGCCTCAGCTGCGCAGGCAGAACAGTCACACTTTCGCAAAGTCACACGCAGTTCAACCCGGCAGTGGACCCAAATTCAAAAAAAGCGCAGTCGAAGTCGATTTTCTAATCATCCGGGGGACAGCATTGAGCCTGATTTTTTGTCTTTTCCAATGTTAGGCCATTCTGCTGAAGCGGCTTCGGCGCTTTCAGAAGATCACAGAAGGACTGCAGTGGTGGAGGTTTCGACTGCTCGTTTTGTCGGCCGGATCATCTCAACGTCAATCTGGCCTAACACTTCTAAATGTCGCGACTGTGACATCAGACTCCGGCGGCGCTGACCATTCGACCTGCGCATCCTCACGATTCCACCATCACCTTGAGCTTCTACGAGGCTGACGCAACGCAGGGTGCGCCAGGGTCCTGCCCCGCACACTCGTCCAATTGATGCGAATCTGTTGTTGATTTTGCGCTGAGGCAATGATTATCTGGAGATACGAGGTACAAATACAGAGCGAGCCCGGTCTGGCGGGACTCGGTGCGGGACGATGCAGTACGATGGGGAACGGGTCTAGACTAGCGAAATGTTTAGCAGCCGGCAAGGTCCTTGGCGTCGCGAATGCGAGCGGAGACGTTGGCCCAGTTGGGCTCCTTGGCAGCCGGTGCCGGGGCAGAAGCGTCAAGAATGACTTGCATTCTATTCACGAGAAAGAGAGGGGAGGGTGGTCAGTAACGCGTTCTCGTGCGTCTTTGCCGAGCGTGTGTTGACAACGTACCTGTTCTTGGAGCACAGACGGCCGTCCTGACGGCGGAGGGTGGTGGAGGCCATGACGGCAGAGACGGCCGAGGTGCGCAGACCGGCGGTCATGGTGGTGGTGCCGACCGCGAGGGCGGGCTGGCGGCCAAGGGCGGCGGAGAGACGGACGGCGGAGGCGATCATGTTGGCGTTTTGGAGGAGTGGATAGGGTAGCGTAAGAGCAGGTTTGGGGAGTCTACTGCGAAAGCTGACACGGAGAGCGGTGCGTATATATCTCCCACAGACACAAGGCGTGCTAGCTCAGTCAAGGTGTGCTCGTACGTCGAGTCTGTACAAGTCCTCTGCTGATGTCCAGCAGCTTGAAGGCATCGAGCAGGTCAGAGCGCTGACGTTCGACTTCATCTGCGCGAACACGCCTGCGGAGAGCGCTGATGTGCAGTAGCGCCCTCTTTCATCTCGAGCTGCTGATGCACCCACTCGCCAGGGCGGAGGTGCGTCTGAAAGCTCGCTGCGGTTGAACCTCTCGACGTTTTGCTGCAGACGAGGCTGTCGTTCCTCGAGCGATCTCGCCATCTGGCTCGGATGAACTGCCAGGCAAAAGCGTTCGAAGCGGTAACGTCGGGCTGTAGTGCGACGATCAAGCCAAGCCTCAATCAACGCAGGCACACGCACACACGACTGACCACCACACCCTCATTCTGCACGAGGCGCCAGCCGACCTGCAAGCTCCATCTGCGATGACGGCACTGCACGCCCTCTGCCCAGGTGCACTCGAGAGCCGCGCGTCCGGCTCGAAGCCTCCGCCCACTCGGGGGGTTCCGCCCCAAAGGAAATTTTTTGGCGTTATTTTCCCGTCTCGCGGAATATTTTGCAGGCGGCTCTCACACTTTCAGAGTCCGGACGCCGGATGGCATCGCGGTGGTGCGGCCATCGAGGCTTACGAGCGAGAGACATGACGACGAGTCCTCCAACTGCTTTTTGGGTTTGGCGAGCCGTCGATTCCAGCTGCCCGCTCGCTACTGAGTCTGTGAAGCTTTCATGCCCCACCGGAGCAGCTTGGAGTGCAGAGCCAGGCGCTAGCTCGAAAGTGATGCGTGCCACCATCTACCGACCTGGCGCAAGCGAGCTATCAGTAGCACCTCGGCTTGCGCACCCGTCGGTGCGCGGCAGTCATGCAGCCCCATCCCACCCTGCGCCCTGCGCCCTTGCTCCATGCTCCATGCGGCTAGTCATGTCGTGGTGCAACCTCCTTAGCGCCGCTTGCATTGCGTCTACCGCTTGGCACGGCAAGAGCTGCAGCTACCGCAATCGACGCCTTGTGATTGAGCGTGCATGCATCACGAGCGCCTGGCGTCGGCAGGGTGCATGTGCGAGACATAGGCAGCACCCTGAAAAATTACAGTTGCAGATGGCGTCGTCTACAGGTTCCGCACGATGACCTCGACGTGCGCTGGGGCGGGGCGACATTGACCCGCCCTGGTCCGATAGCGGGTTCCCACCGAGCTCCGCTATCGACGTCAGTAACCGACGCCGGACTCGACCATTGTGCGGTCTTACGCACTTTGCCCACTCCGCTCGCCGGGCTTGAGATTGCGGATAAGAGATGTTCAGCTGGCTTTGCGGGGTCGAGCAACCCCGGATGGCGATTCGTGACGATTACTGCGCGTGTGCCGTTGCGAAAGCGGGGTAAAAGAGGTCGCGCAGCACCGTACGCGAGACGAGCTCGGCATCAATCGCGCCTAGCTTGATCCTGTTCGGCTCGCTGATCTTGATCTGTGGAATGCGGACCAGTCTTTCCCGCACCGAGCCAGCCCAACAAGTCGAATCCACCCCCACACTTGAGCTCCGTAGGATGCGCGCAGGATCAGGCGCGACGTTGGTCTTGGCGCACCCTGGTCGGCTCGACTCCCTCAGCGTGGCATCTGCCCGCCGGTAGAACCGTCTTCAGATCAGTATGGACATAACATGACGTGCATTGCAACAGGTGATTGTTCGTGGGGGACATACATGCGAATCATAAGCAGATGGAGAAGCCAAAGTCGGCGACGAAGGGGCAAGGGGGAAGTCCGGAACAATAATTTACAGTGGTGGCGCCGCTGCTCAGAAGCGCAGGAACTTGGGCCAGTCGAATGATCTGTTGGATCGGTCTGCGTCCGTGTCGTTGGGCACGTCGCCCGCGCTGTTCTCTACGTCGGCTGAGGTGTCAGCCCGGTCCTGGCTGCGAAACGTGGTGTCGAGGTCGGCCCAGTTGTATGATGCGCCTCGTGCGCGTGCATCGGCGCCCGATGGCGAGGCGGCCTGTGATCTTGGCGGTGTAGCGCCTCCGAACGCGCCCGCCTCGGACGCTTGTGCGCGCAGCAGCGCAGCTTGAGCCTCAGCCGCGCGCTGCGACGCACTCGCGACGCGCGGCGAGGGTCTCCAGCTCGCCGACGCTGGCACCGCCGACAGATTCGTGCTGCCGAGCGAGGGCATGGTCTTGTCCGATTCGGAAGCCGGCAGTCCGGCCTGCTCGCCCGAGTTGAGCGATGGCGTCGACAGCGACGGTGCCAACGCGGTCGGTGCAGGAGCGGCAGTACCGGGCTGGAGCGAGCGGATTCGGCTACGTTGCGGCAGAGGCTGCGACTGCAGGAAGCTGCTATCGGTAGCCTCTCCAGGCGAGCTCCTCTCCTGCCGCAGGTCTCTGGCGACGGACCTTGACACCGCCGCCCCGAGCGATGCGCTTGGGTAATGGCCGCCTTGCTGAGTGTCGGCAACGCGTTCGGCATCGCTGAATGGATCGGAAGCCTCGCGTACCTCGCGCAGGCTGTCGAGGCGGCTGAGTCCGTCGACGCTCGAGCTGCGCGGCCGTTTACGTCTCTCGAGCGAGCTAGCCCCACCCTGCGTGGCCATGCTGCTCGCCACATCCGCATCCGCATACCGTGCATCCGTTGCGTCCGTCATCAGGCTCTCCGCATCGCCGCTCGGGCGCGAAGCGTAGTACGTCGCACTGGCCGTGGGCGCCGACGCATCGCGCATGTCGCGCGTGCTCGTCGTATTGCCTCGGCTCAGCATGCCGCTCGGGCTGTAGCTCGCCGCGCCCGTCGAGGCGCCGCTGCCCATGCTCGCCTCGCTCATTCCGCCCGACCGCCCACCGCGGCTGCTGGAGCGGAAGCCAGATCGCGTCGATGCGCTGCCCGTGCTGCGCGAGCTCAGCTGCGCTACCGCACTGAGACTGTCGAGCCCAGTGCTGTCGCTCCCCGTGCGCCGGCTCACCGACGAGTTCGACTGACTCGCGGCATATCCACCGCCACGACTCGACACGCTCGGATACGAACGCTGCCTCGCCGCCACGGCGCCCAGACCGGCACCCAGCGCTGCAGCTCCCGCCACCTCGCCACTGCCTTTCGCCTGCTCGCCGCTGCTTCCCGAAGCTTCTTTCGATGACAGGTGGGCGACGGGCGAGCTTGTGCTCGTGGCGTGTCCGAGTGCAGACGGGCCATACACGCTCGCGTGCTCGCTCCGCACATCCGACAGCCCCATGTCGCTCGGCTCGAGCCGCGATGCGCGTCGCTGGTGCTGCAGGCGGCTCGAATCCTCGGATGGACGAGCGTTGTGCTCGTAGCTGTACCGGCCCTCGGCGTCGTTGAGCTCGCCCGACGAGTCGCGGTACGATCCCGCCTGCGTTCCTCGCGCGGCTGTAGTGCCGGGCATCCAGGCGTACTGACCCATGGTGAGACGGCGCCATCCCGCTGCCACGCCACCCATGATGCCTGCACTAGCAATACCGGCGCCCGCCAGCTCGGCTCGGCCTTCATCGTCGCCCGGCACGCCACGCTCGCCCAGGTCGCTATCCTCGGCATCGGCGTATCGCTGGACTTCCGAGCTGGGCCGTCCACCGCTGCGCACGCTCATTGCGCCTCCGAGCGTGTTTCGTGGCGAATCGGGCGGCGTTACAAACCGACCCTGGCCTTCGGAGATCGGACTCTGGATCTGCTTCGGCTCGCCAAGGCCCTGCTGAGGCGGCTGGTTGTGCAGCGTGTAATGCGGTAGAGTCTCGCCCGCCCGCTGATGTGGCTCGTAGACAGGGAGTGGCGAGATGACGTTTCTCGAGCCCGTCGATCCGCCTCCCAGCGAGCCCGAGTTGGCACCCACCGCATGCAGCGATGAGAGTGGCTGCGACGATCCCGTGCGCTCACCCGTGCCCGTGCCGCGCTGGCTACCGCTGTCGCTCTTCTCGCCGAATTCGCCGACACTGCGAATGGTGGGCAGGCGTGTGCGCTGGCCCAAAGTGCCTGCCGCCAACGCGTCGGCGCCACCGAGCTGCTTGTCTTCGCTGTCGATGTCTGGCGATGGCTGGTAGTCTGGACCGAGCAGATTAGATCCGGTCGAAATGAAGCGGCTGTATCGCTCGGGGTCCGTAGATCGGAGGTGCCGCAACTCGTCGGCGGACATCTCGCTGGCGTGCGATGCGCGCATATCAGGTGAGAGCGTCGAGCTGTCGCGATGCCCAGCAGCAAGCGCACCCAGCCCTCCCAGTGCGCCTGCACCGCCGAGTCCGAGCAGCGCCGCATTAAGCCCTCCGCGAGCAGACGCATTGCTGTCCGTCGTGTCTACCGAGTAGCGCGCGTCGTGGGCGAGAGAGGGTGCGGGGGCCGACGATGGCTCGAGATTGGCGTAGCTCGCCACGGCCTGTGGCGATCCTCGCGGCGCTCGTGGGGGAGGCGGCAAGCTCGCTCCGCTGCCAGACGTGGTGAATCCGCCCGTACTGTTGCTGCTGCTCATCGCTGCTCCGCCCGCCCTCTGCGTTTGGGAGCTGGTCGTGCCACCCGTCGCGTGGCTGCTCGCCTGCCCACCCGACGATGCTCCCGAAAAGGCGCTCGACGCCGGACGTGACATGGCCGCGCCTCCATATGCGCGCGGTGGACTGATCGATTCGGATCCAGATCCGTTGCGATGCCTCCTGTGTGCCACGGCCGCAGCTCCTCCTGCACCGGCCGCTGCACCGAGAAGTGCAGCCGTGGCGCCCGAGCCGTGTCGTCCCGCTTCGCGCATTTCGGGTCCCGAGCCATACCCGCTGCCGGGCGAGTCGTGCAGAGGCATGAGCCCTCGACGTTCCGCCATGCTGCCATCGGCATCTTCATCGCTGAGTGGCTGCTCTTCTTCGAGCTCCACGCGTGCCTTGTTTTTCTTGCCGCTACCAAAAGCTGCACCCAGCACTCCGGCTCCTGCAGCCGCAAGTGCAGCCATCCTGCCCTTCCTGGCTCCATCGCGTGAGGATGGTGCGGCATTGGCAGTGGTGTAGCTCGGACCGAGGCCTGCGGAAGAGCGTCTAGATCGGCGAGAAGCGATACTGGCGCTGCGATTCGGGCCCAGACGCTTGCCGCCGACGACGAAGAAGCCCGAACCAGCACCGCCGCTAGTGAGGTGGTCTTCCTCCCAATCGTCGCTGCCAATGCTTCCACGCCGGCCGGCAGCTGCTGCACCCGCCGCTCCGAGTCCTGCAGCACTCGCAGCGCCTGCAGCAGTGCCAAGCGCGGCGTAGTTGCCACGAGCACCACCGCGGACGCTTGCGCCTCGCCCGAAGCCGGACGCGCCGCTCTTTTCAGCCGTACCGGTTCCACCGGTCGCCGCGGCGAGGACGGTCTGCTGCTGCTGTCGATTGCGTCGTCGGCGCAAGCAGCACAGGAGTAGAAGCAGAAGCAGAAGAAGCGCAAAGAATGCGCCGAGCACGATGCCCGCGATCTGCCTGCCAGAGAGGCCCTTGGCAGCGCGCACACCTGGATTCGGTGCGCCAGCTGCAGTGGCTGATGGTTGTCTGGAAGTCGTTCCTGTCGGACTTCCGGTAGAAGTGGGTGCTGTTCCGCTGGAGTCGGGGGCTGGAGGTGTTGTGGCTTCCGGGGTGGATGAAGGGCTCAGCGATGTGTTTGCCGGTGCTGATGTCGGTGAGGTGTCGGAAGAGGGGGTTGCTCCAGCTGTTGCTGATGCGGTGTTATCTGTCGCGGTCGGCGAAGCTGGTGGTGCAGACTCGGCTGTCAGGGTTCCCTGATCGGTGCTAGCAGCCGTTGCAGGGTCATTTGTGCCCGTCGAGGGTGCATCCGTTTGGGATGGACTTGCACCTGTGTTTTGTGTTGGAGCTGCAGTGGTCTGGGTCGGAGCAGCAGTTGTTGGAGTAGGCAAGATCTGCCCGGGCGTTGTATAGAGTGTGCCGAGATCTGGAGCTGGAAAGGGTCCGGTGTAGAGAAGTGGAACATTGACGACCGAATAGTCGATCGAGGTGGAGACACCCTGAACGGTGCTGAGTGTCTGGTAGGGTGCAAAGCTTCCCTGAGGGTCGTAGACGACCTGGGTGATGATCGATGTGTACGGAAAGACGCTGGTGGCGACAGGCGAGTAGGATAGGTAGGAAGGCAGGGCCTGAGCGGTTGGACCCGGCCCTGGAGCCTGTTGTGGAAGCGTCGCCATGCGCGTGAAGGATCAAAGGCGGCGCTGGATGAATGGTCGGTGTCGCCAGCGAGCCTATCGAGACCAGCTCGAAGGCAGTTGTACCTGGCTAGAGCAGGAGGAGTGCCGGGCACAGCCCGCAAGTGACCGCCTCACGACAGCAAAGCCCTGCACGAGAGTGATGTGCCGGCGTCATCAGGCGAGTCGTGGATGCGTTAGGTTCGTGCCATGCATGCAGATGTCGTAGGAGGTCGTCAAGGCGAGCAATTCAAGTTCGTAAAGATAGAGGAAGAAGAAAGTCGAACGTCAGGGTCAGGGTCCGAGACTCGGGATGATGGTGAGGGCGTTGTGTCAAGCCACTTCTGGACGAACGTGCTCCGAGACCGATGACTTCCAGGCCGAGTCGCAAGCTCGCGTGGAACAATGCCAGACTTTGCCTCGCTTGTTGCCGAGACGGTCTAGGATTGCACCAGGTACTTGGCTCAACCCGACTTGGAAGGCGACGCTCGTTGTTCGGCCTGGATCGGGAGGCATTTGCAGTGCCGCACTTACCTATGTTGCGGGTTGAGGCGACGTGGACCGGCAAGTCTGATGGGCGGGGCTTAGGTTTGCGGGGCGGATGCGTCCAGCTGTGGCTTGCTACGCCGGCCGGGGCTGATGCGTAGTGCGGCTCTAGCGGGGCGTCGGCGCTGTCAAACAGATGCTGGGCTGGAAAAGTGGGCGATGTGCCATGCGTCTCGAACCAAGGAAACGGGTCAGTGGTCGAGGAGGCTCATCGGATGGTGGAGAGGAAGGATGATAGAAGTTGGTGGAGCGATGAAGAGACGACGAGCAGGCTGCAGACGGCAGGCACCGCAAAGGCTAGAGAGAGTTTTGCAGCGGACATGCATGCAAGCTTCAACGTCTACTCGTTCGCCAACCCACCCTTTCCGAGCGCGGACTCGAATGAAGCTGCCGATTCACTTTCTTCCCCCAGCGATCCGGGCTCAATCAGGCAAGTCATTGACATCAGCAGCACTTTCTCCTCGTGCAAGCCCTTTTGAGTCCCCTTGCGTTAGACAGTCACTTCGCCCTTGGGCTTTGTCGTCGGAGCGACTGGCTTCGCATGTATCAGACTATCCAGTCAAGATCAAAGTTCGACAGAGCCAAAATCAAAGGGATGGAACAAGAGGCCGAATACCAGCCCATTGTCGGGCAGGAGTAAAGATAGCAAGGGCGAGAGAAGAAGAACGACACTGAAACTGGTTAGGCGCTGACAGGCAGCGGACAAGCGACGGTCGGGGCTGAGTTGACCCTGTCAAGGCTCGCGAGAGGTGGAGACAGGGGCTCGAGCGATGTCATGGGAAGAACAACACTTGCGGCCGTTGGCAAACTGCCGGGGAAGGACAAGCTTTGGGCCAGCTAGACTCTCGCTGAACACGGCGGGGATGCACGAGGCTCCTATCCTGCATAATCGGCCCAGAATTTTGGCTGTTCAGGGGCCGTCCAAGAGCGGTGCGCAGTCTGACGTGTGTTTTTGCAGCCCAGCTTTCCTCGCCAGTCCAACACTCTGACGCGTCTCGCCTGGAATCTCTGCATCGAGCCCCTGAGGCAAGACCGAGCGACAGGAGTACTACGGTATGGCATCGAATCCCAGCGGCCGTGCCAGCCACAAAGATGCCGCGATTCGCATCGAATCATCCTAACCTGTGTTTGGCAAGGACAGGAGCATGCGTACCTGACTCAGAGCAGCAGCACTTGATCGACGAGGCTGGTAAATCGGGCAGGATCGAAATCGGGAAACGGCGCATGTGTAGCTTGGCGCGCTCGAGCCACGTCCTTGACCAACGAGTCTTCCGAGCCAACGGTCAGGAAGCCGTCGTTTCCGAGCGCTTCGGCAAGCTCGACCTGGTGGTTGTCCATGAGTGAGGTGTTGGGCACCACGACGAGCGCAGGTGGGTGCGGCCGCACACGCAGCGTGTCGAGAATCGTTCCCGAGCCTGCGTGGCTGATCACCACCTCGGCCGACTCGATGTACGACTTGAGGTCCGGAGCGAAGGCGAACAGCTGCAGCTCCACACCGCAGTCGAGCTCCGCTTCCACTGTGATGCTTTGCTGCTGTGATGCCGTCGTCGCCGCGCTACTTGTCCCAGCAACAGCCTTGGCCTCTTGGACGATGCTGTCGAACATTCGATCGACGGTGCCACGGGGGTCGTCTTGGCGCATGGAATTGGCGGCCGTCCGAATGCGCATCCCCGGAAGCGTGCCTGTCTGGCCTGGGTCAAGACCGGGGATGTTGGCGCCGCTCTGGTACACTCGCCGGCCGTTGACGATGCGAAGTCCGGGCTCAGGCACGATCTCGCTGCCTGCATCCACCGAAGCCGCGTCCATGGCAGTCAAGATATCGCTGATGGGAGACGTTCCGTATTGAACCACGAGCTTGATCCAGTGCTTGGAGTCTTGGCCGGGAGCTGGTGGAAAGGTCCGCGCGAGTGCTCGGAGGAAGCGTTCCGACACGACGGCGCGCACCAACGAGTCGAATCGGGTGGTGCCGACCGTGACGAAGACGGCTAGCTGGCTGGCCTTGGCGGATGCTGCCGACGCTGAGACGTCCGCCGCGGTCATGGCCAGCGTGAGAAGCTCATCGACGCGATCGTGAGTGGCGAGCAAAGTGGGATTGGGAGGGCGACCTTGTTCGTGCGACCTTGTTCGTGAAATGCGGCCAAAAAAGAGCCGCTCAAATTCTCCACGCGGCCCGCAAAGCATCGGCAGCAGAATGCCGCCGCACGGACGCGACGGAGATCCCGACCAAACGGACGGACCCTGACTCGGCGAGGAGAAAGTCGAGTCTCTTCTGTCCTCCACTTGGCCACTCGGCCAGACTTCTAACGTCCACCATCTCGCTGTCCAGCTATCGCCACCATGGAAGCCATCTCTCGCGCCGGCAAGGCGTTCCTCTCCTCGACCAGCGACATGCTCCAGAACGCTCTCGTCTCGTCCAACGCCGCCGCCTCCAACGCGCACGCCGATTCGCTCACCAAGGACCTCGTCGTCCAGCAGATCCTCATCCACCCCATCAAATCGTGCCGCGGCACCTCGGTCCAAGAGGCTCCCTTCGACCACCAGGGTCTCCAGTACGACCGCACCTGGCTCATCATCGACGCCGACTCCAAGAAGTTCTACACCGCTCGCGAGCTACCCAAGATGGTGCTCATCCACCCCGAGATCCAGTCCGACTCCAACACGCTCGCCATCCACATTCCGCAGTCCGAGACTGGTACGCCCGCAACTACCGTCAAAGTGCCGCTGCAGCCTACGCAAGAGGAGGTCGCCGCGTGCGAGGTGGTCGAGGGCATCTTCATCTGGGGCGCCTACGTGGACGGATATGCCGTCTCCAAGCAAGCCGATGACAAGCTCTCGGCGTACTTTGGCAAGGCGGTGCGGCTGGTGCGCAAGGGGCCCTCGCCGCGCGAGAGCGGGCCCACGGATCCCGACGGCAACGTCGAATGGAAGGACGCCGTGCTGCGATACCAGGACTTCTACCCGTGTCTCGTTGCATCCGCCGAAAGCCTGCGCGATGTGCAGCGCACGCTCACCGCCTCGGTCTACCCCTCGATGCAAGACGGCGACGAGGCGGCCAAGGCGTACAAGGTTCCTCCGTCGGTCAATCGCGAGTACTGGACGCCCGAGGAGCTCTCTTCGCTCCCCATCACGCGCTTCAGGCCCAACATCATTGTCGACGATGCGCCCGGTGCCGAGTCCAAGCTCTCACCGTGGGAGGAAGACGGCTGGACTGCAGCTGAGCTGTTCGACGCCAAGGCGGACGCGCCGCTGGGAGCTGAGGCGGAACACAAGGGTAGGGCGGGTATCTATATGCTCGCCAAGTGCGCGCGCTGCATGGTGCCCAACATCGACCCGGAGACGGGTGTGCGCGACAACTACCTGCCGTATAGAGTGCTGCAGGAGTTCCGACAGGTGGATCCGGTGGCGGCCAAAAAGGGCAAGCCGTGCTTTGGCATGCTGAGTGTGCCGCGCGAAGAGCACGGCGTGGTGCGTGTGGGCGACCGCTTCAGAGTCACAAAGACCACCGACCCGCAAACTCGGGCCTCGCCTGCCTAGAACACTGTGCTCTTAATCTCATCACGCTCCGCACCGCAGAATGGCCCGAAAGTTGATCCTTGCCTTTGAACTTGAGAGCGTCGAGAGGGGTATTGGGGTGACAGCATATAGTACAGGGCGGGTGCAGAGGGAAAGCTTTACTTTAGTGGCGGGATCGTTCTTCGCGCGCGCGGATCTTCAACCTGGCCTCGTCGGTGAGCAGGGCCTTTCGGGTCTTTTCGTACCACTTGAACAGCATGTTCCTGTCGAAGCGCAGAGCCTCGAGCCACTCCTGTGGCACCATGGTACTGTTGAGCAGCTCGCTGTCGCGGTCGTCGTCGATCTTGGGCACGTAGACAATGTCGTCGCGCATGTGCGCCTTGCCCCCCGCCGACGGCGTCACCTTGGACGACGACTCTTCCAGATCCATCAGCACCGAGTAGTAGTCCTCCTGCGCAAAGATCGCCTTGAAGCGTCGGAAGGGTTGCGCTGCATCGATGCGCTCCACGCCCGTCACCACCAGTCCCGTCAGATCCTCGTACAGCTTTCGAACCGCCTTTTCGTCCTCCATGGCTGCCAGCGATGCCGAGGCTGCCGACGGCTCCGCAGCCATCTTGGCCGCACTGGTAGACGAAGAAGTAGGGGCGGTGGTGGCGGCGGCAAGCAGCGCTTTGGATTGGGCGATCTCCTGTTCGAGCTGCAGCTTGTACGTGCGCACATCCTCTTCGAGACGCTTCTGCAGGCGCGTCGCTTCGGCCATCTCTTTGCGGTGTTGCTTCTCGAGCTCCTCCAGCCGGTGATCGGGCGTTTCGGGCTGGACGCTTTCGCGCAGCGTGGCGTTGAGCATGCTCATGCTCCTGTCCGAGCCCGCTGCCGCGCCGCCCTCGGCCTCGCGCGCGCGCTTCTCGGCCGCCTCCACCTTGACCTTGAGCGAGTTGATGAGG